TAAGGGTAAAGGAGCATCAAGTCTGCAACTTACTTTGAAATGGTTCAGAGAAAAAATGTATTAATATATACAGAAAGGGACATAAGAAATGTGTTAAAATATTTAATGTTTGGGAATTGCATGAAGAAAGGGAATTTATTGTATTATTTCTGCAACTTTTAAGTCTGATGTCATATAAAATAGAATTTTTTAAAAAGTCATTTACAAAGGTCTGGGATTCAGAAGCGAGGTCGGTTACGATATTTCATAAAAATACAAAGGGTCCTTGCAGCCATCTAATACCAGCACCTGGTGTTAGAGTTCTCCAGAGAACAGAATCAACAGGATATATATATAGATTTATTTTAAGGAATTGGCTCACACAACTGTGGAGGTCTGAGACTAAAATCTGATGAGGGAGGGAGGACTGCATTTGCAGTCCAAAGGCAGTCTGCTGGCAGAATCCCTTCCTGCTGAGGAGGGGTGAGCGTGGGGGGTGGGGGTATCAGTCTTTGTTCTATTAAGGTCTTCAACTGATCGGATGAGGCCCACCCACATTACAGAGGGTAATCTGCTTGACTCAACGTCCACTGACTCAAATGTTAATCTAAAAAAATACCTTCACAGAAACCTCCAGAATAGTATTTGATCAAATTTCTGGGCACTGTGGCCCAGACAAGGTGACACAGTAAATAAACCATCACAGCTCTTAAGAGCAGAGCCAAACTGTCTTCTTCAAAAAATCATAGCACACACTCTGAGAGGCTTCTTAATCTCATAAAATGATGGCTTAACCCTACCTTCCACTTGCCGAGCTGTCAGGTTAATCAGCAACACAAAACATCTGTCCATCGTCAAGCTTCTAGCCAGAGAAAATAACTGAGCAGTATCAGGGAAGCCTGCCCATGGGATACAAGGTCAACTTCACAAGACAAGTGGAAACATATCAAAACTGGGTGTGTTAAAAAGATTCCAGTGGCTCGTCCCATCAGTAAAAGAAAATCTTGTAAGTGGAGGCTGTGGGCAGCCAAGGCTGCAAAAACACTGCTCTAGATCATCTTCAACTCCTGAATCCAGCCAAACCATAAGATTAATCGTATTCATTATGATTATCTTATTAGAAATATTTAAGACTGCAGTTTGGGCCCATGGTGGAGCTCTCTTTCCTTAATCTACCATCATGGCTATGCCATGAGCTTATGGCAAAGAGGCATTAGTAAACAGACTCATCCGCTGCCAGGATGTAGTAGGCCAGCTGTCCTCATTCTACACTACCCACTTTAAAATCCCATAGAAGATATCTCACACCTGCTCATTCTAGCAATTATCATGGAGATCCCATGACTCCCACAAGTGACATGAGCTGCCATTTGCTTTGATTGCCAGAACTTACATCTGCACTTTGTGTCCTGACCTTGCCCTTGAATGCAACCTGTTTCTCTACCCTTACTCTCTGGCCCCAACCTTCTCTTTGAGGTCTTCTATTAGTTTGAACTTTCTGTGTCATGCCTTGCTTAAGCATTCTCTGATTCTTTTAGGGCAGAGATGGAATGTCAATATAAAATGGAAACATTTTATAAGCAAACACAAAGCCACAACTTTTTTTTTTTTTTTAAAGATTTTATTTATTTATTTGAGAGAGAGAGAGAGAGAAACAGCATGAGAGGGGAGAAGGTCAGAGGGAGAAGCAGGCGCCCCGCGGAGCCGGGAGCCTGATGTGGGACTCGATCCCAGGACTCCGGGATCATGACCTGAGCCGAAGGCAGTCGCTTAACCAACTGAGCCACCCAGGCGCCCCCAAAGCCACAACTTTTTAACATGGCGAGGGACCTCAGAAATGGATTACCTCGTTCCACCCACCCACCCTCTATTTTAAAAGATGAAAAAACGGAGGCCAAGCAAGATTAAGAAATCCAGCCAAGTCCAAGGTCTCACAGACGGAATGGTAAAGCCAGGACCAAAAGGAGCTTGGACTCATGTAAGCCATCCCTCCCCATCCAGCTCTTTTCTATTCCTGAATCCAGGGTGGAATTCCAGCTCTGGAGTTTTATCCCAGACTCCTGGCCTTGCCATTACCTCAGAGAATCCTTGAACCATCTTCAGAACTAAGCACTGCCTCCTACCACCCCCAACCTCTCAATTTTAGCCAGGTTTTTTGACTTGACTTGCCACGCTAGTTGCCTAAAAAATCTTTCTCCAAGCACAAGTTTCATTTGTTTCTGCTGTTGCCAAAAATAGAAGGCTAAAAGGTTCTGAAACAATAGGTACAGCACGATACAATTTTGTGTAATAAAAGCGGTGTTGCTACCAGTGTAGAAAAAAGATGTAGGACACAAAATGTTTATAGCATTTATCATGTTATTACTCGGTGTTGAGAGAGATTAAAATTAATTTTTTCCTTCCGGCTTATCTGTTTTCCAATTTTTCCTCCAATAATCGTAACTTGCGTAATTGTCTAGAAGACAAAAAATTAAGTAAAAGCACTCTAATTTATTAAATATAGGTCATTCAGCTACCCCAGTCAGAAGTGCAGTGGTACAAGTCCCCGAGGTCATTCCCAGACTGGGGTGCAGCTATGCAGGATTTTTATTGGGAGCCTACCTCCCGTCAGGTTCTGACCCTTGTGGGGCTTGTTTCTGGCCCATTATAAGCAAAGAGAAAAAGGAGAGGAGGAGCTTATTTTTCAATGTGAATTAGCCAGACTGAAACACTTAACTTCCAATTTTCCGTTTTAAATGGCCTTCCTATCCAGAACAGCCAAACAACCTTCCACTTACAGGCTGTGTGGTTTCTTTAAAAGACAAAACTTTCCGCCTGTAGTCACCACAGCAAACAACCAAAACTCAGACCTCTCCGTGAGGACTGGGAAAGCCGTTTTGTTAGAGGAATTAATTCTGTTCATGAAAGGTCCCTTCTGTAATCCCTGAGCCTCACTGTCCTTTTCAGGATCTAATTATACATAAACACTCTAATGGGAATGCAAGGTTTTGGGGTGTGTCCTGGTCCAGGTCCAGGAAAATGTCCTTGAATGTGCAGGCAAAGCTGTACCCTTGTCATCTGCTACACTGACAGCAAAAATGATGTTGCAAACCAGAGCTCTGCCATCAGCAAGGGATTCTGGGGGAGCCACTGCCTCTTGGCTAGTGTCCCTGGCAAAGTCATCCTAAGCCCCTGTTGTAAAAACCCGCTTTACCCATTTGGTGCCACTTCTTTCTATGCTGTCTTGCATACTAAATGTGAAGGAGCCCAGTTGGTATTCTAATAAATCTGTCCTCCTTACCATCTCTATTTTAGAAAAAAAGAGTGCCCCAGAGTAAGTTTGGAAAAGCAATCAATCTCACTCTTAGCAATTATTAAACATTTAATGCCTCATGAAAATACTCTAAAATACTATCAACAAAGCAACTACCCACTGCCTATGTGTATACTGCAAATCAAATCTTTGCAAACTGGCTTCAAGCCTGCAAGTGTGTCCTTTCTTCACCAGTCACTCTACCTGAATATCGTGGAAAGGACAATATTCTCTACAGTCAAGAGCAGGAAGAAAATCCCCAAACTGAGAGCAGATGGGTGGCCAAGAGTATGAGAGGCCTATCAAACTACCAATGGTACTGGAGAAGCATATTTACTAACCTGGAAAGCTACTGAAAAAGTTACAAATGTCAATGAATGAAACAGAAAAACCACAACACTGTACATGCAATATACTTTTATTAAAAATGTGTATGTAGGGCGCCTGGGTGGCTCAGTTGGTTAAGCGACTGCCTTTGGCTCAGGTCATGATCCTGGAGTCCCTGGATCGAGTCCCGCATCAGGCTCCCTGCTTGGCAGGAAGTCTGCTTCTCCCTCTGACCCTCCCCTCTTCTCATGTGCTCTCTCTCTTGCTCCCTCTCTTGCTCTCTCTCAAATAAATAAAATCTTTAAAAAAATGTGTATGTATATTTAAGAATATACATACACACGTATGTATATTTAAGAAAAGGATCTGAAAGTACATACACCTTCAATTTAATATGGTTAAGAATAATGGAGTCACATCAGTGACTTTTCTTTGGCCTATTTTGTCTTTTTCTGCCATAGGCATGAATTTCTGCAAAATATAAAAAGTAACAATTAATCTCTGTAATTACCTAATCTCCGTGAACTTTAACCCAACAATGTTCTTCAAGGTAGGTGTGGAAACCACTAAAGACAGAGCCTTCTTTGAGGGCTCCTTCTCTGAGCTCCTGACCCCTCCTGCTTTAGCAGGCATCCTCAATGATTTTCTTCCGATTACTGCCTAGCCAAAAAAAGCCCCACAATTCCCTGCAGATGACTGAGCTCACCCACTAACACCACCAAATTGCCCCGGCCTGGTTCCAGGACCCTTTTCTCTCACACTCTGCTGCAGAAAAACAAAAGGTGGGGGGCGGGGGCAGCGGAGGAGGAAGCACCGACTCTGCAGCCATCACGGAAGCACCCGGCTAGAAACAGGCTGGAAAATTCCGCCAGGACTCCAGGGCTCAGGAGTCGCGGGGAGCAGCGGACCCCCGCAAGACCGAGCTCTTCGCGCAAAGGGTCTGCGGGCTCGCGCCTAAGCAGAGGATGCCGAGGCCAGGCCCCCCGGGCAGCCGAGTGTAGACAACACCCTAATCTGCCTACTTAGACGACCTCCTGACCGCCCGAATCCGCTCTGCGTCCGGGGTGGCAGGGCGGGAAGAACCGGACCAGGCCTGTGCAAAGCTGGCTGACCCCCGGGGAAAGGCGGTGGGAGAGACGTGACCCCAGCCAAGGCTATCCTCCTCGGCAAGAGGCCAGTGCGTGGACCACCGATAGGCTGCGGGGGCGGACAGAGGGTGGCCGTGCTCAACTTAAAGACACGCCGCAAGCACGGGCCCTACGTGCGTCTTTCTGGGAGAGAGGCGCATCGCTCTGCTCTCTTCACAGGGGCCCGTGGCTCGGGAGAGCGGTCACAAGGGCTGCCCTTTTCCGGGGTGGGGGCAGCGGGCGCGGCAGGATGAGCGCAGTGACCCCGGCCTCACCTTGGGGTCGCGCTCGTAGTAGTGCTGCTGCGTGCGGATCCAGCGGCCCACCAGGTGGTCCCGCACAGTGTGAGCCAGCGCGAAGAAGTAGTCGCGGGGCGTGGCCACATTGCGGTCCTTGACCAGCGTGAAGTGCAGGTGCCGATTGAAGCTCTTCCGCACCTCGGCCACGTCGCCCAGCCCCGCGATGCCGCGCACACTGATCTGCTTCCGCTTCTCGCTGTCCGTCAGCGGCTTCGCCATCGCGCCGGCGGAGGAGTAAGACAAGATGCAGAGCCGGGAGGACACGCGAACACCGAGGATGCTGCGGCGGCTCTGTCACCGGGCACTGCGGCGACGCAGCTAGCCCGGGCCGCGCCTGCGCGGTGTGCCGGGGCGGGGCCGAGAGGCGAGGGGGCGGGGCCTCCATGGGGCGGGGAGGTCGGTGAATCGGGGCCTCTGGAGACGTGGGGAGGTTCGAGGGGCGGGGCCTCCAGAGAGGCAGGGCAGGGTCGCTGGCCCAGGTCGTAGTCCTCAGACGTTGGCGGGGGCGTGCCGTTTCATAGGTGAGGAAGATGAAGTGATTTACCCAGGCCAACCAAGAGCGGGGGCCTGCCCCCAAGATGGCCAAGCCCGGCAGGAGAGGAGGAGACTGGAGGAGCAGGACTCGGGAGTCGGAGCGTTGATCTCGCCCCTGCCTGCTCCCCACCCCCAGGGCCATGTGGGGGTGGGGCGTACTCTGCTTTCGCGGCTTTCGGGATTTGGGGACCGGCTTCCCTCGCCCGGCCAGGGTCCCCGGCCGCCCCAGCTGGGATGCCCTGGGTGCTGGGGTGCGGCCGAGATCTGGTAAATGGGAAGGGAAACCGGTTGCATGCTAGAAGTGCACCCACCGACGCCTGTTGGGCTCAATCTCCTGAATTGGGGGCGGAGTGGCTCTGAAAATGACAGCTAGGAATGTAGAACTTTGCTGATACTGAGAAATGCCAGCCTGCCTGCGACCCTCAGACGGGGCTGACACACACGGCTGGTGAACAGGAGACAGCATTCCCCGGGGGCGCTGCGGCTCTTTAGTGTCACAGCGACCCCTCTGAGGAACCACTGCTCCTTACTCACTGAGAAGCCTTATTCCCTAAGTCACTGGCCCTCACTTTGCACTTCAAATTACGTCAGGAGGAAGGAAACACCCCACTCTGGCCGAGGATCCGGGTCATTGTGACAGAGACACAGCCTCCTTCATTCCACCCAGGTACGAGCCCCGATAAGGGGTGTCTGGACACAGCTTCCCACATCTGCTTAACACGGGGGGTGGGGGTGGTTTCCCAAAGAAACTGCACCTGGGCCCACCTTGCATACAGCTCTGCTCTGAGCCTGTGGGAACATTGCTTCATGGGAGTTTCACGCTGACCTCTGCCTTTTCCTTTGTTCCCTGGATGCCTCTGGACCCACCCGGTTTTGTGTCACTGCAGGTTTGCATTTGGTGGTCTCACACTGATGGGCTGCAAAGAATCCCGACTTACACGAAGGTCAAATTTGCCTGCAGAAGATGCCATAAAAGTAGATGCAGAAGTTTTCCTGGCGTGATGCTTCTAAAGTAATCTTACCTGGACTCTCTCCTACATGCATACTTCTTGGGGGACAATAAATGTGGAATGCCCTCTCTGTCCCACCTATTCACACACACACCCGCTCCAGGTGGCCACTAATATAACTGGAATGGATAATGAACCCCATGGTCATCTCAGCCATTTTCAGATAAGTAATTTTTAGATAGTTATAAGTGCTGTGAAGAAAAGCACATTAAGCAGCCAGGAGATGACACCTGAGTTGAGACCAAAAAAATATTAATGAGTAATGAATCTGGGGGAGAAGGAAGTACAAAGGTCCTGAGGTAAGTACCCACTTGGAGAGTTCACTGAACATCAAGTCCAGTGTAGGTGGGGCAAAGAGAGCAGTTGAGGGGTATCATAATATGCCACCCCGCAAAATGCCTCTTCGGCTTATAGGTTATTTTGAGCTAAAGGCTTCTGAGAAAATAGCAAAAGCAGGAAAAGCTCTAAAAATAGGGTTCCAGTTTTCCCTTTGTAAAGGAAATTTACATTTAAAAGGGCATTTCCATTCCTAGAAACCTTTCCTCTCTTGACAGGTCTGATCATAAAACATTACAAACAACTTCTGTTTACCATACTTCTGGTCACCTTCCCATAACTTGCCTCCCTAGCTAGAAGCCCCAAACCCTTTCCTTTGTTTTAGCCTAGGGTGATATTTAAACTCAAGTTCTAACCACCACTTTGAGTTACTCATCTCTAGGTACTCCTGGGTGTTTATGTGATACACATGCTAATAACCTCATGTTTGTTTTTCTCTTGTTAATCTGTCTTTGGCCAGTCAAATTTATAGGGCCCCACATGGAGAACTTGAGATGGGTAGAAGAAAAGATTTTTTCCTCCCCAACACAACCAATGGGTACATTCAGACTGGAGGTGGGGAGCCAGGTCAGGCTTGATGAGGAATCTGGATCGTCCAACAGAACTGTAGGGCTTCTGAACAGATAAAATGGAAAGAAAGGGGCTCAGCTTTGCCCCTCCAAGGAAAAGGACTGTTTTTTTTGGCAGTCTGGTCTCAGCTATGACTAGGCCAGAGCACCTCCTCCCCTAATGGGAGACAGTTGTGAGGCCAGTCAGGCCACCTTGTAACAGTCTGGTTCTCTATTTTTGGGAGACCGTTTTAAATATTCATTTACTAAGAAGTGATGGATATTGATCCAGGTTCAGTTACTCTTTGTAGTGAGCTATTCTGTATTACGGGAGATAGATTACCTTTAAAGTTTTTTCAAATAGGTATTTCAGACTGTCTATAGCTAGTTCTCTGCCTCGGAAACAGAAGATGCCTTGTGTGTGTAATGAAATGCTGCGGGAGTTAGAAGAAACTGGGTGTGGAAAACAGACACTTGTGGTCAGCTTCAGCTTCTTGAGTGTCTCATTGATCATAAAGGTTCAATAAGTGTTGGTTAAGTGAGTGACTTAGACACTCTGCCAGCCCTTGTTGAGAATGCACAAGATAAGGGTAAAGACTGCACGGGACCCCAGCAATACCACTGGCTAATCTGTGAGGGTCAGTTAAGTATTTGCAAATGAACACAGACCTGGCCTTTCAGGAAATGGGAGGCAAACAATAAATGCATTATTTTTGAGAGGTCAGTAATTGTAAACCCCAGTAGAATTAAGACCACTAGCTAGAATGATATTGTGGAATTGGGGTTCTCCCTTCACTAGGGTATGTAACAGAAAGATACTTATAGTGACATTAATGTATTGTAACACATTGATGTTAAAAAGAAATCTGTAGGTGCCTGGGTGGCTCAGTTGGTTAAGCATCTGACTTTGGCTCAGGTCATGATCTCAGGGTCCTGGGATCGAGCCCCCGTCAGGCTCCCTGCTCAGTGGGGAGTCTGCTTTTCCCTCTGCCTCTCCAGCTCCCCCTACTTGTGCTCTGTCTCTCTCTCAGATAAATAAACAAAATCTTAAAAAAAAAAAAAAATCTACAAGCCAGAGTGATATGAAAAGGAAATAAAATGGGGGTGGGGAGAAAGGAAGCTCTTCTCTACAGAATACCAAATAAATGTAGGAGTGGATGCTAGAACTATCAGACAAAGGCTATAAGTATCACCCCACAGATTACCTTAATAGTTACAAAAAAGAGGAGGCACTTGACAGTGGAAAAAACTTCATGAAGTGATCCAACCTAGCATTACCAGTAAGGGGACTAAAGGATACTACGTGTTTTCTGATTCAATACACTGAGAAGGACACATCACTTATGTGAATATAATATAGTATACTACGAATATCATGGTAATATAGTAAAGACACCTAAGCCCCAGCTTATAGAGGTACAGATAACAGCTAAGGCAGTTTCCCAAACTTGCTGATGAGACCTCCCCGTAGGGCTTGTTAAAAGCACTTTTCCCAAGCTCCAAGTCCAGAATTCCAACTGTCTAACTTTTAAGGTATTTTGTGTGTATGTGCAAATGTGGGGATCTCCACTCCAGGCAGCATTTCTAACCCAGCACCCAGGGCCCTGTCCTAGTAGGAATGCCATTAATGCACTGCGGGAGTACCCCATGTGTGCTAGAGGTGCTGGGGCTTTCAGGAGTGATCAAGTCAGACACTGTCACATGCTCAGCTGGGCCTAAGGTCTGATACTTTTTAGTGTTTTTAACATACAGTGTTATATTAGTTTCAGGTGTACAATACAGTGATTCAACAATTCTATACATTACACAGTGCTCACCGTAAGTGTACTCTTCATTTCCTTCACCTATTTCCCCCATCCTCCCACCCGCCTCCCCTCTGGGCAACCACCAGTTTGTTTTCTGTATTTAAGAGTTTTTTGTTTAATAAGTTCCACATATATGAGTGAAATAATATGGTATTTGTCTTTCTCTGTCTTATTTCACTTAGCATTAGACTTTCTAGATCCATCCATGTTGTTGCAAAATGGCAAAATTTCATTCTTTTTTTGTGGCTGAATAATATTCCATTGTACGTATATGTGTGTATATATATATCACATCTTCTTTTTCCATTCATCAGTCGATGGACACTTGGGTTGCTTCCATAAATTCTGTTGTAAATAATGCTGCAGTAAACATAGGAGTGCATATATCTTTTCGAATTACTGTTTTTGTACTCTTTGGGTAAATACTCAGAGGAATTACTAGAGCATATGGTAGTTCTATTTTTAATCTTTTGAGGAACCTCCATACTGTTTTCCAGAGTGGCTGTACCAGTTTGCATTCCCACCAACAATGCAAGAGGGTTCCCCTTTCTCCACATCCTCATCAATACCTGTTTTTTTTTTTTAATCTGTTTCTTGTGTTCTTGACTTCAGCCATTTTGACTGGTGTAAGGTGGTATCACTGTGATTTTGATTTGCATTTTCCTGATGATCAGTGATGTTGACCATCTTTTTATCTGTCTGTTGGCCATCTGTATGTCTTCTCTTGGAGAAATGTCTGTTCATGTTATCTGATCATTTTTTAATTGGATTATTTGTTTTTGGGGTGTTGGGTTGTATCAGTTCTTTATAGATTTTGGATACTGACTATCAGATATGTCATTTGCAAATATCTTGCATTCTGTAGGCTGCTTTTTAGTTTTGATTGTTTCTCTTACTCTGCAGAAGCTTTTATCTTGATGTAGTCCCACTAGTTTAATTTTGCTTTTGTTTCCCTTGCCTCAGGGGACATATCTAGAGAAATACTGCTGCGGCTGATGTCAGAGATGTAACTGTCTCTGCTCTCTTCTAGGATTTTTATGGTTTCAGCC